CTGTACTCTCTGCTCCCTAACTTACTGTTGACTTACACTTTGATCTCTCTGGTCCCTAACTTACTGGTTGACTTACACTTTGCTCTTTCTGGTCCCTAACTTACTGCTGACTTACACTTTGATTATTGTTTGTCCACAGGAAAGGGGAGCATGTGTTTTTTCCACTTTTGCATACCTTGTGCCTAGGATAGTGGCGGCATGTAGAAGAGTAGAAGACATGCATGATATTTATTGATTAGAAAACAAAAACACTGTCTTAACTTGTCTCCCCGCGTAACTCTTGCCCCTGCAGTCTATCTTGAACAGAGCGGTCAAAGTGCATGTGTTAAACCTTGGTCCTTGTCGCTCCTCCGCTCCCATCTCACTGGAGCACTGGCGAAGTCCTCACTGGGCCTGCAAGAACCAGCATTACTGCCTCGCCCTGGCTCCCAAACTCTGCTGTCCTCTCTGACCTGGCTCCTCTCCTCATGCACTCACATTCACACACACACATGGGCCTCTCGGCTCTTCTCAGATGTGCCAGGCTGCACTGGCTGCTCCTTCTCACAGAAAGCTCTTCTCCCACGGACCCAGGCTCCCTCCAACCGCCGTCAGGTCTCAGACGGCCTTCACCCCCACCACTCCCAGCCCCTGGCACTTAGTGTCCTATGAAGCACTTATACTTCCCCACCTGACATCAGGCCTACCTATTATACTCACTACTTGGGTGACTATCTTTCTTTCCTCTCTAAAAGAAAAGCTCCATCAGATCAGGGATCTTCTCTCTCTCTCATTTTCTGCAGTATCCTAGCACCTAAAACTGCTTGGCACATGGTGGATGGTCAACAGCTATTACGGAACGAGTGAAAGAGGAAATTCTCTCACTGGGTATCTAAACCCACACGGTAGTTAGTCATCAGGAACGGGACACGTCCCTCGTGAATGCCTCCTCCAGGTCACCCCTTCTGTCCATCGTGGTCTCCCACAGAGACCTGGTGTAGTCCATCAGTCTTTCTCCAAACAAATCATCAGCCCAGGAGTTCTCCCTAAGAGATCAGAACTGTTATCTCCACCACGACTCCCCTGGTTTTTAGGGCACTGGTGAGGATTTTTCTCATTAAAATGTACTTATTTCATAAGCAAATTTTTTCCGAAATCTGCTTTACCCCTGTGTTTCTGGCCACAGCTGCACTGTTGAGCATTGCTGCCAGAGGCAACTGATTAGTTTAAAAAATACACACTCTGCTTTAGGCTGGCATCTATTTGTATTTCATTATAATGTGATATTAAATACGATGCTTGGACTCTTAAGATGTCTGCAGCACCGCACATCCGCCCCCAGTTCAGCCTGACGGTCTGCCTGCAATGGTGGGTGGAGCAGGTAGTGTCACTCCCAGTAGCAAACAAGGGAGCTGAGGCCTGGGAGAGCTGGTCATGTAGGACACCCTTGGCATGATTTCCAGCTTTTGTTTTTTAAATCTTATTTTATTGCAAGTCACCTTCAAACCCTTAGACAGAAAAGGCTGTTCTGGGTTAGTCAACTAGTGTTTTTGAAAAAAGCCTCTATTTTGGACATCCTGTTGGGATGCCGAACATCTACACTTAACATACCCCGTCATGATGTTTCTTTTTGCTGAAGTTGAGCTCTAACAAACTGGACAAAGATACACAGGACCAACCACTCTGGGGTTTAATTTCCAAGAAAGCATATAATTTATAAAACTATATTTTTCCTAAATTTTTATCTAGTGGTAATCTAATTTTAGATACCCCCCAAGCTGGTTTCTGAAGAAAAGTTCTACCTTCTGTCTTAGACTTGAAACACCAGAGTGTCACCCTTACCAAACAGCTCAGAAGTCACCCTCTCCAAAGAAATCTGCTCTCGAGGCCCGTGCTGGACCCAGCTCCCTCCAAGGCCTCCTGTACCCGTTTGCCAGCTGTCTCCCTCAGTAAATTCCACATTTATTTAGGGCAGGGATTAATCATCTCTGTATCTCAATCAGCTAACACAGTCCTTGGCCCATGGCAGGTGCATAAAATATGAAAGCTGAGTAAGTGAAGTGGCACAGCTCCTCTTCCCACTTGGTAAGGCCTGCTGTGGTCCAGCACTGCCAGTGATTGGGTAGATTTGTCTGTGTGATTTGGGGGTTCAGCATCGGGAAGCCCATTCACCCAGAGTTACAAACTACGTTCTCTATTAGTATAGGTGATTGTCACGTCTCCCATCTGACTTTTTCTTGTATTTTATTTATCAATTGGTTGAGAAATCAGGGCATGGAAGAGAACTTTTTGTGGGGGTCCTTAAATCTCTTCCCAGTGTGGACCAGTGGACTTTGATATTTTTATTTTGAGAGTCTTCTCCTGTGCTATCAATTACTCCCAGACTATCATTGTTTTATTAATGAAGTAAAAGACAGCAAGGCCAGATATTGCTGTGAAACAACATATTACTATGAATTCAGCAAACCCCAGAAAAGCCTAGAAACAAGGGCAAAAATTTATGATGATAAAAATCTATGTCATCAGTAGAACATTCTGTTTAGTCTACATTCCTAAAAGCCTATGGTTCAAAAAGTAAGCATCAAATTACCTATATCAAACTTCAGGCCTCTCTCCTGTGATTCTGCTTTTTCCAAAAACCTTTACACACTGTTCTAACAAACATGCAACCATACGAATTGGATGTGCCAAGACCCGCCCCCCACCCCACACTTCTCCCCATAATGTTGAAAGAACGCCTGAGGCCAGGCCCACAGGACGACGCGTGTCTTCTCACACAAGGCACCTGACTGAGCCCCTGGAGGAGTCCAGGAGGAAGCCCCAAAGGCAGGAGCTGAGCAGACTCTGCCTGTCCCACGGACACATTTGACTTTACCCAGGCCTGGAGCCTTCCTCTGGGGAAGAGTTTTGCAGACGATAAAGTGCTCCCATTCATCTGGTGGTGGTGCTTAACAAGGCTGATTTCACATAAATCAGGTAGTATGATTACTGCATTTTTACAGCTGAGGAAACTGTGACTCAAAGAGAAACACAGCTGGGAATTTGGAAGGTGGGGATTTGAGTCCCTATCCTTCAGACTTCAACAGTTGCACGTGGTATTTCCGCTTTCCCAACCCCACTAGTGGAAAATGCACCATGGGTGCACGAGAGAAGGACCATGGAGGTGAGGATATGTTTACAGACAACAGGTAGAATACTCCTCTACAAGGCTTCCAAAGGACTGTCCTCGGCCTGCACACACAGGGAGAAGATGAACAGGAGAGCAGCATGCAGAGGCTCACACAGCACACAGTGAGTATGCGGCTGCCAGACTGTATGCCAATGTCCCTGTGACGAGACTTAACTAGAGTTTGGGGATGGTGATTTTTCTGCCTTGTTTGAAGATGTTACATTAATACACAATAAACAGGACACACCTACAGCCTCTGTGTCTTTTCTGAGTTTCCAAGATCTGTAGGCCAAGCCCAGCCTGCTTCCTATGTCATCAGGCACTCAGGGTTTCCTCCTTTGTTGTCACGTGTTGAACCACCTCTTACCAAGAGAAGGAGGTCTCTCCAAAATTTCCCCTGGATCCTCAATCTTTTTGCTATAAAACCAGAATCTATGCACAATGCACCTCATTTCTATGGGCATTATCAAAATTAACAAATACTAGATAACCCCAAACTCACCCTCAGACACATGTCCATGACGGACTCCAAACATTTTGGATTCAGTGTCCCCAGAATTAATTCAAGGAACACAGTGTCAACAGAAGCTCATTTGCTCGTTGGCCCTTTCCCTTCTGCACCTAATACCATTCTGTTCCCAACACTGAAAGTGAGGAGCCTGAGTAGTCTGGGCATCCTTCACCACACTCATCTAAATGGCTGTCCAATCCCAAAGTTTATGTCTACACAACATCTCTCCTTGTGCTCCCCTCCATTCAACTTCTGTTACTGCTGCTCAGGTTCTTGATCTTCACACTTCTTCCCTGGTCTGCTCTAACCTTTCCCCTCAGTAGATTCCCTGCACCCAGTCTGTCTCACCTCCTTCAAAGATCTCCTTGAAGACCTCCCCTCCTTAGGGTCACCATCACAGTTCCTATCCTTTCCTACACTTTTATCCCTCTGTGAAGCTTTAGGGAAGGTGCTAATCACACCTTCTGCCAACGACAGGTAGTCCATGCATCACCTGGGAACTCTGCCTCCAGCCATCACTCTTTTTGATATTGTTCCAGGTACTAATAAACGTCAATTTGTGTTAGAGCTGTTTCTATCCCTTTGTCATCTCTAAACTATCAGGAAATACCTGGAGAATCATTCTCCCTCTAATTCATCAAGTCATTATTCTCATCACCTAAAAAGGTTTTGAAACTCTGGTTGTCTGACCCCATGTTCCCAGACTACTCAGAGAAGAGCCGAGAGCTGTCCCTCTTTCCATTTCCCATCTCCTGCCTCCTCCCCTGCTGGTCCAGCCATGTGAGGCCGGCTTCAGCTCTGGCTTTCCGCCAGGCTCCGCCTCCTGCAAACGCTCAGTGTACACACCTTTCAATTGTTACTGTGATCTAAGAATCTTTTTTCCTGTTTGATGTATGAGGTGTATAATCTTTATACCTCATTAAGTACATTTCTTTTGGGCTGTAAGTTACTGGAAGGCAGGCCTATCCAGAAGTATGAGGAACTTTTTGCCAATAAGAAATCATGCAAGTAGATGCTGTTTGATGATCAAGAGGACAGCATTCAAAGCCACTCAAAAAATATGCAAAATTTAATAGTTCATATTTTGATTTCTGTCTTGAGCATGTGGTTACACCATCCTATCCACCCAACACCCAGTCATTTTCACATCTAGAGTGCCTGACAGTACCCTAGGGTGGGGTTCACTCTGATCTGGTCTTGGCTCTGCAAACTTAGTCTACAACCATTGCTGGAGATCTCTGTCTATCACTAGAGCCCATGCAGTGAGTTACCAAGCCTGGGGTGGATCCAAGTGCATAGCGCTTTTCTAAGTGACCGGCGCCTCATCTCATCCATACTTACTCGGTGAGGTTGGGGAGGCTGCACCTCCTTCTGTTGATGTGGTCGGAGGCTTCGTGTCTGGCACTGGCAGAGGCACAGGCCTGGCCATTGGTGGTGGCGGCGGCGGTGGCAACATTGGGGTGGGAAGGAATGGGTTGTGCACTTTGCCTTGGCTGCTCCCATTGGGCTGTGAGGGTGGAACCAAACAAGACACGCACAAGAAAAAGAAGAAACAGAGACGAACCATTAGCTGCTTCTGAAACAAAAGATCATTAGGCACCTACGTAAATTACTAAGTATTCTAGCTGCTTGGATTCCTCCATAAGAATATACGGATGAAGAATTGTTGGGCTGTTCTTAAGGTATTCCACAAAAGTACAGTTTTAGGCACACATGCTCAATGCATCCCAAACCTATCTCTTGGATTACTCCGACCTTCTTTGCATCCTGGTTCTGTGAAATGACCCGCCAACTTTTCCTTAGAATGTTTTGATTCTGTCTTAGCTGCTACCTTCATCATCAGTCTTATGATTATTAAATATTTATTTAATATGTGCTTTATAGATTGCAGAATTATTCCATCATGTCTATTTATATAGATATAATGAAGTTTCCTAAATACGTCTTTGAGACAAAAAAAATTCTCATGCTTCAAAGTTATTATTATATAGCATTTAATAAGTATGTTAAATGAACATAAATTTCTTTCACATATTGTATAACATCAGGCACAGAAACTTTAGAATTCAGCTGTCAAAATTCTGCGAGGAAAAAATATCACTTCTAATTTTGATTTAAATTATATAATCATATGCCATAAGAGTCATATTTATTTGGCCACCTGATGTTAGAACCACCAAATAACAGCTCTTTCACAAAAGAAAGTTTCCCTCTGAAGAAAGCAATAAAATCCATTTTATTTTCAAGTTTTTCAAAATAGTCCCATGAGGAGACCCACCTTAAACCCTTTAAAATGTTGATCAAACTGCAACACTGGGCATTTGACAATTATACAGGATGATGTCAGGACTATTTAAATAAAGTTAGAAATTTGAAAGTCAGATGCCTGATGCTGTGGTCACTTCAGTTCTCTCATGGTTTCCCACGTGCCATTCTGACCCCAGACTCAGCGATACCATTCACCAACAGTGAGAGCTCTATTTAGGCCACAGTCCCTAATCAAAACTCAGCTGGGGGAGGCCCTGTGTCCCAGGATTTTAAGTGTAAGCTTCATAATTCTGCACAGGCAGCCTCACTCCCTCATCAACAGTCACTGACATATTTAGCATTGTTCCTCAGAGACTATCTCATCTGACAGTCAGAATGTGCACTTTCTTGCCAGCAAACTTGCTTGTGTGTGATTTCTGAGTGGCCTAGAAGTCCATAAGTGAATGCTTCAGAATGAGCCAAGCAAAGGAGTACACAAGCAAAAAGAAAAGAGGCGCCATATTGATTTGTTGTCTAGACAGAAATGTATCTGCTAACACATCACCAGACATTAGTCAAAGCTGCCTGCTCTGTCTCAGATATGCAGAATCAGGTATTTCTGCAAGGGAAGAAAATCAGTGATAGAGCACTGTGATATAATTTTCTAAATTAGCCAATAATAGTTATGGCTAATCTGTGGCTTCATGAGCGATTATGAGGAGAAAAGGAAAATCACATTTTGCTTCATGCTGGTCATTGTTTACCCTTCATTATTATTATTACTGGCCTTGGGATATAGATATCCATTGTAAACATTTAGTTCTATATTTGAGATAAAATTTGTGATTTTAAGAAATCACTTGTACGTTTGGAATATTATTTCAAATGTGATTATTTGGTTTATTTGAGAAAAAAACAAAAACATTCATTTGAAGCTATTGCATACTGTTTAGCTTTACACAAAGATAAGTGGGAAAGACAACTACTTGCAGAAACAACAAACCACAATAAACTGTACTTCTAGCATCTTGAGTTCAAGTGCTGGTCAATTTGCTCTAAAGTGTTAGAAGACTGTATTTTTAAAAATATCAACTTAGTTGATCTGAAACATCTGTGTCCCCTCATCCCTCTACCTCTCCCCACCACCTCAAATCGTTATTTACAATTATTTGGTCTTTCTATTTTGTTAACTGTGTGAGCCCTAGGTTAGCATGCAGGAGGTGGAATGACCAGCCCACAGACTAGAAGGTTATATAGTTCAGCCTTGAGATGATTTATATCCATAAACTTGACAGTGGCGAACTTAATACAAACACTGTTTTTAAACCCTGGCCACTCACTCTTAGAGTAAGTTAACTTTCCCACAATCTAGAACAAATATGACATTTGCCTTCAGTCAGTCAGCACAACATTAGAACACAAGGTCACATGGTCACAAGGTCTCCCCTTGTTATTTTTACATTTGGTTAATATTTCTAAAGAAAGTGAAAAAAAGAGGTTTCCTTACATTGAGGAACCCCACCTGTCCAGCCTGCTGACCAGCATCAGGGCAGACAAGCTGGACAAACTCTTTCAGCGTCTCCTGAGGGTGGTAGCGGATGGCTGGGTGTGAGAAGTAGGGCCCAGGCTGCTGGATGATGGGTGACGTCGGGAAGTGAAGAGTCGATGGTGTTGCGTGTGGACTTGCTACAGGGAAAGGAAATGCCAGAGTTACAAAGAGAAAGACTTGCTTTGCTGCAGCTTTTACACCTGATTCAGCCCTCCTTCTGCAACCTTGTCTCCTGACCCCGCGCATAGTACTGCTCATGGGACTGAGCTGAACACTGGAGAGGGCTGACAGATCTTCCCCAAGGCTCGAGACAAACACAGAGGTTAGCTCAGGGTAGAGTTTCAAGCTGTCTTTCTATTTTCAGTGGACATGAGTTATAAAGGCATTAATAATCCTGGGTGAAGCTGAAGATTATTCATTACCTTAAGAGCCTTTTTAATGAAGCAAGCAATAAAAAATGTATTTGGCAGATTAGATCTAATCTAACTGGCATTACATATGACAAATTCCAGTTTGCACATATGGACCCCCTTTCATGCTGAGCTATCCATAGACAATAATTCATTGTTAAAGCTCTTATGTCCCTTTCAAGGAAATTTCTAGGGACTAATTCAGGATGAAATTTTTTTGAAGTATGTAGTAAGTGATCACTTAACAATCCTGTGCAATTTGGGTGCCTCACTTTACCTGGAAAGTTTATGTCGCCTTTTTTTTATTTTTTTACCATTTCAAAGCCAAACTCAGAAAGGCGTGAGTGTTAGAGCAGGGGAAGCCACAGGCTGAGGAGGCAGTGACACCTGCCACACTGCTGGCCCTTTGACCATGAAGACTGATAAAAGCCTCAGACAACTATTAGCCCCTTATACATGAACCCTGGTAAATTTTGTTTGTACAAGACGACGATTACATTAGATTAAAAAGCTTATGTGAAATGCTTAATAATTTTTCTGAGAGAACTTCTGCCCTTTAATTGGAAGGATGATGGATAAAACCTGCTAGAGGATAAGAGCAGCCCCAGGGTTTAAGATACTCAAACCAAGTAACGCCAAGACAGCAGCGCTCACTTCTCAGTGAGGACCAGAGAAACACTTCCCAAATAAACGCAGATGAGAGTATCCCTCTTTCCTTACTTTTCTTGGTTTAAATCTTTAAACTCAAGGAGCCCCTGCAAAGAGAAAACAAAGGAATGCCCAAATTCTTGGAGAACAAGACTTTGCTAATACTAAGAGTGACTCGTAAAAGCACTAAGAAACCTAAGTAAGACAGGCCATGCTTCCTACCACCATCCCACTGGCACGACTGAGGACTGTGCAAGAGGACGTGTCCTACTGATCCCTGGGCATGAGCTCTTGCTTCCATGCTGGGATATCTTTAGGGTTGGGGTATTCTCTAATAACTGAGATGGCCAGGACGTTGAGGTTCAGAATGGCATCTGTAGCTTTTAAAGAGTGGAAATGGGGGTTTGTAGTAGAAGCGACAGTCCAGTCCACGTCTTGCAGATGCCCTGATGGAACCCTTTCGTTCATGCCAGCTTTAACCTGTCCAACAAATATTCACAGGCTCCTACTATGGGCTTGGGATACAACAGCGAGCCAACGCAAAGTCCTGTCTTCAGTTATACAACTGAGGGCATCCTGAACACAGCCTATTCAAACCAGAGTTCCTGTCCATCTTCCACCCCTCATCTTTGCTCTTCTCTCAGTCTTTCTCATCTTAGTAAATAGTTTTTCTATCTGTTTGTTTACTGTCATATCCCCAGGATAGCGTCTGGCACTCAATAAATATTGGTTGAATGTACAATGAATGATTAAATACATGAGTGGTACTGAAATTAATAAAATAACCATACAAATAAAGATAGATCTAAAACTTTGGGGGTTTTTCACCTGGCAAGAGCCAGGGAGCTTGTAGAAAAACTGGCAAAACTTAGGGCTTCACACAATGAATGATAAATCTTGGAACCCATAATTGTCTCTGAGTTAAAACTCACAAGCTAAAACGTCAAATGGCTCTGATCATCTATTACTTTGCAAATTGTGCTATTGGCTTTAAAGCACCAAAGGAATTTTTTCATCTAATATGGTATGGCTGGGGCCAGCCCCGTGGCTGAGTGGTTAAGTTCGCACACCCCGCTTTGGCGGCCCAGGGTTTCGCCGGTTTGGATCCTGGGCGTGGACATGGCACCGCTCATCAGGCCATGGTGAAGTGGCATCCCACATGCCACAACTAGAAGGACCCACAACTAAAAAATATACAACTATGTACTGGGGGGATTTGGGGGAGAAAAAGCAGGGAAAAAAAAAAAAGAAGAGTGGCAACAGTTGTTAGCTCAGGTGCCAATCTTTAAAAAAAAAAAAATAAATAATAATAATAATAATAATAATATGGTATGGTTGTCTTTACTGATAGCAAGAAACTTTGACCTAGTGTCCTGCATTTGACCAAACAGTTTCTAGTTAGGTAGGGAACGTGGCATTTTCCAAACAAAGCTGGGAACGTACTGAACATAACAAAATGATACATTCAACTTCTGCAGCGTGTCAGACACATAGGTGGCGACTCCATTATTAAGGGCCCCTGGGAAGCAGACCTTGATGATAAAGTGGCAATGCTTCAGGAGCTCAATGGAAAGCGATAAACGACTGTTAGATTATGAAATCATGGAGGCCAACAGAGAATGCTGCCCAAGGGAAATATTTCCTTGGGCAAACATCAGGTGGATAAAAGTTAAAGAAATTTGACAGAGGAAATAATTCAACAGGATCTTGGAATTCTTCCCTTAATTGTTAATAAACATCCTTGCTCTCTTTTTGTTGTTGTTGTTGTTAAATATGTAAAAGAAAATAAGTAACAACTTAAATTTAGATCTTAGTTTCTTTACTATATCTTACTAAAAACAATTTACTCACCTTTTCCTTGTGGCATAGAGTTTATTTTAACACAAACCTGAGAACACATGGTACTACATAGAGTTAATTCTATAGTGACTGATTTATAAGGATCAATTAATTCTTAATTAATACCAGGAAATCATTTAGGCTGTAGATTGAAATTAGGCAATTGCCGAGTCTGCATTTCAAAGGGTCATCCTTCACCCTCACTTTCTCATGCCTTGGACTTTCTGGTTCAGCCAGTAGTTCAGTGTGGAACTGGATATAAATCATTCAAGATTCGGAGCTCTAATTTCTTTCAATAGAAAATGGTTGTGTTAGAGACATCGCAAAGTTCTGCTGAATGCACGACGCCCTGCTGTTTCTCGGGATCACCTGTCAACAGGACCCTCACTGGACAGGGCACTCGGCAGGCTCTTCATGGCTCCAAAGCTCAGACTTAAGATCTCAGCAACGCCTAAATGGTTTTTTTCCTTTCCTAGTTCTTGTTTTCTCTCTTTTATCTTGGATTAGACGTTTTCAGTGTGCCTAAGTTTTTGTGTAAGTAGTCTCAAATCACTTTAGAAAGTTTTGTTGGGGTTCAATCAATTAATCAATCAATCAAATTCAATGGACGTATTCTGAGATGGTCAGACCAGGCCCTACAGAAGAGAAATGACCATTATGAATCTGGAACAGTGCTAACACAACACACAAAGAATGGTATGAGTCCAAATTTTTGACAGAGAAAAACATCTCTCATGGATGTGTGTGTGTGAGTAGTTGACACTATAAAAAATTGCAGCACATTATGTAAATACATATTTAGATCCTTTAAAATGTGCATTATTTACTCGAGAGTCAATAAAAGCTTTTCTCAAGTGGTTACCGTTTATTGCCGTGCATCCATCTGTATCCATGTTGATGTTAATACAATTTTGTGTATTAAAAGGCACTACAAAATTGGCTGCTTCTGGGGGCTAACACTCCTAGTACCCCAGGCCATGAGAGGCAGAGCGTCAGGACTCCATACTGGATGCATCTCACAAGGGGTTTAAACCTAAACCAGAGGTCAGACTTGTTTAAGACAACTGCTTGGGCTTTTCACAAAGAACAAAACGGGAAGGAGGAACTTTGATCAGGTTTCTCTGGCTGGAATGGCACTGCCTACACATTCTGAACAGAGCAGCCACAGTGAAAGACGCAAGAACCAGGGCTTCCCAGGGGGTGCGGGGCCTGGTCACTCACCACAAAGTGGCTACATTCCCAGATGCTTAAACAAAGAAAGCGGGCCAGGCAGGTTGGTTTACTTGTTTGCACACCCACAAATTCTCTAAAAAAGACTCTCTTGATTTTAATTTGAAAGAGAAGTTGTTAAAAGTGCAACACAATTAAACATATATTTTTTAACTTAAAAATGCTTCCTCCTTTAAAGCAGAAGTGATTAAGACAGGGGAAGGAGAAGGTCAAAGTCTTTACTGTATTATGGTGTATGTTGACAGACACATGACCCAACAAGGGATTCTGGGCTGTGACTCCACCAGAGGGAGGAGGTCGGATACACACACATTCTTCCTCTGAGATGACACCAGGGAGGCATGGCCAGGTAGGTGTGCAACCGGGTATTTCATTTTAAGTCTTAGGGAAGAAAAAGATAGAAGAACGTAGTCTTCCTTAGTATTTCCCAAACATAACCTCCAAGAATTCTAATAATCCTCCCATGTTTTTCCTCAACCCAAAATTTCATGGGTTGAAGTCTGTTCCTGTATTTAACCCTGGCATGGGCTCAACTTCTTTATTCCTCGTCTACGGACCACCACAGATTCTCACAGAGTGGACAGGCACGGATTCTTTTCACGTTAGCTTTCTGCTTTCTGGCACCGGCCCTTCAATCCTAGTCGCGCCTCAGTGGCAGGCTCCACAGAACAGCTGTCCAGAGTGTGGTGCAGACAATAAAGGAGAACCTCCTTCAACGCCCACACGCAGCCCGCTCCCCCACACGACGAATGATCACTCCTGAACCCTCACAGTCTTATCGTTAAGCAACACTAAGTTAGTGGCAACAGGTGAGATTCCAAACTACTTCTCTTTGTTGGCACCACTGCAAGAAAAGGCTGCTCATCTGTCTTCAGCAGTAAAATGTTCTTTAGACAAATAACCATTTCCATAGAGTAAAAGGTGGCATTAAGAACTCCTGACTACCCATATTTATAAGGAAAGAGTTTAATAAGGCAGAGCTCTAAAGGGAGAAGAAAGTGGAAGAAAAA